ATATAAGGTATAATGATGGTGGTTGCCAGGGCATTGCTATGTGGCTGCTAAGGATTTTAGCATGTCTGCCTGAACATCCTGTTTTACTGAATGAAATATGCAAATCACCCTCATTCAGCTCAATGTCGCTCACACACACACACACACACACACACAAACACACACAAACACACAAACACACACATTCTCTTTGAGTTCAGATGTTACATCGCACTCCTATTTGTCACTGTCAGGTTTAGACTGATGTTAGCCACACACACACACACTGCTGTAGAGACTGTGTTTGTGTGTGTGTTTGTGTGTGTGTCTGTGTCTGTGTGTGTGTGTGTGTGTGTGTGTGTGTGTGTGTGTGTGTGTGTGTGTGTGTTCGTGTCCTCTGCTCATGTGTTGTTCTTCTCTGTCTGAAGCGTGTGCGCTGGAGTTTTGATGACGTAAGTGTTCGTTCAGCTTCAGCGTGTGCTGCATCTGCTTCTTTAGACAGAACCAGAGAGAGAGAGAGAGAGAGAGTGTGTGTGTGCGTGTGTGTGTGTGTGTGTGTGTGTGTGTGTGTGTTAGTTCTGTCCCTCCAGATAAAAGCTGTGATGTAGAAGAGTAGAGTTAGCATCAGTCTTATAGTAATAAGCTGAAACTAAACCTAGCTCCGCCCCAAGGGGAGTCTCATTGGTCTAGAATGACAGTCTGCATAGCTCTGATTTAAATGTGTGTTCTGATTGGCTGTGATTCAAACAGGATTTGTTTGTTTCTCAGCACATCCTGTGAAGAAGCTCTAACTTTGTGTGTGTGTGTGTGTGTGTGTGTTTAGGCGCAGCTAGTGAAGGACAGGAACTCGATGCTGCACCTGACCAGCATCGGCTCTGATGATGATGAAGACACAGAGGGTCTGAGCGCCGCTGATAAGAGCGCAGAGCACCGGCGCGTGCACATGACCTGGACCAAAGACAAGGCCCTGCAGCTGCGCAGCAACACTCACACACACACCCAATCCTGCTGCAGCACGCCCGAGGGATTCAGGGACATGCTGAACATACGGCCGTGAGGATCACACACACACACACACACTTTCTGTTTTAACACACACGGACACACTCTATCACACATACACACACACATAGAAACACACAAACTTTAATCGCTCACACATACTCACACACACACACACACATGATAGTGATTTATTGTAATCATTTATCTTGTATATCTCTGCGCGTGTGTGTGTGTGCGTGTGTGTGTGTGTGTTATTGACAGAGATCATTCCAACGTGCGACGGATGCACACGGCAGTCAAGCTCAATGAAGTGATCGTCAATAAATCCCATGATGCTCGGCTGGTGCTCCTCAACATGCCCGGACCACCCAAAAACCCGGACGGAGACGAGAACTGTATCCTTCACCTTCTGACAGGGACTCTTACATGAAACAAATAATACACTACAGGCACTAAAACATCTTACACCGCAGCTCTGCTGAATGCTGGATTCTGATTGGCTGATGGTCACTCTCCGGTGTTTGATTATTGTTGGCTCAGCTGAAGTAGTTCCGGCAGATTTAAAACGCATTAAATTATGCTGATTATTACACAGATACTGGCCCTAAAACTAACTATTATGGTTAATTCTGTGATAACCTCCGGCTGGATGTAAATTACGCTGATTATTACACAGATACTGGCCCTGAAACTAACTATTATGGTTAATTCTGCGATAACCTCCGGCTGGATGTACATTATGCTGATTATTACACAGATACTTGCCCTGAAACTAACTAATATGGTTTATTTTGTGATAAACACCAGCTATAAGTACATTATGCTGATTATTAGTTACTTGCCATGAAGTGAATTATTATAGTTTATTTTGCGATAACCACCGGCTAGATGTAAATTATGCTGATTATTACACAGCTACGAGCCCTAAAACGAACAATTATGGTTTATTCTGCGATAGCGACCAGCCATGTATACGTTATGCAGATTATTACACAGCTTCTAGTCCTTAAACTAACTATTGTGGTTTATTTTTTGATAACCACTGGCTGGATGTTCGTTATGCTGAATATTACACAGCTACTGGCCCTAAAACCAACAATTATGGTTAATTCTGTGATAACCTCCGGCTGGATGTACATTATGCTGATTATTACACAGATACTGGCCCTAAAACTAACTAATATGGTTTATTTTGTGATAAACACCAGCTATAGGTACATTATGCTGATTATTAGTTACTTGCCATAAAGGGAATTATTATAGTTTTATTTTGCGATAACTACCGGCTAGATGTACATTATGCTGATTATTACACAGATTGTTACCTTAAAAAAAATGGTTTATTCTGCGATAACCACCGGCTGGATGTACGTTATGCTGATTATTACACAGCAACTGGCCCAAAAACGAACTATTATGGTTTATTCTGCGATAGTGACCAGCCGTATATACGTTATGCTGATTATTACACAGCTTCTAGTCCTAAAACTAACTATTGTGGTTTATTCTTTGATAACCACTGGCTGGATGTACGTTATGCTGAATATTACACAGCTACTTGGCCCTAAAACTAACAATTATGATCTATTCTGCGATGACCACTGGCTGGATGTTCGTTATGCTGATTATCACACAGATAATTACCCTAAAAAGAAATATTGTGGATTATTCTGCTATAAACACCGGCTTGATATACGTTATGCTGATTATTACACAGCAACTGGCCCTAAATCTAACTTTTATGGTTTATTATGCGATAGCAACCTGCTATATATACGTTATGCTGATTATTACACAGCTTTTAGTCCTAAAACGAACTATTGTGGTTTATTCTGCGATAACCTCCGGCTGGATGTACGTTATGCTGAATATTAAACAGCTACTTGGCCCTAAAACTAACAATTATGATTTTTTCTGCGATAACCACCGGCTGGATGTATGTTATGCTAATTATCACACAGCTACGAGCCCTAAAACGAACTATTATGGTTTATTCTGCGATAGCGACCAGCCATGTATACGTTATGCTGATTATTACACAGCTTCTAGTCCTTAAACTAACTATTGTGGTTTGTTCTTTGATAACCACTGGCTGTATGTACGTTATGCTGAATATTACACAGCAACTGGCCCTAAAACTAACAATTATGATTTATTATGTGATTGCAACCTGCTATATATACGTTATGCTGATTATTACACAGCTTCTACTCCTAAAACTAACTATTGTGGTATATTCTGCGATAAACTCCGGCTGGATGTACGTTATGCTGATTATTACACAGCTACTTGGCCCTAAAACTAACAATTATGATTTTTTCTGCGATAACCACTGGCTGGATGTATGTTATGCAGATTATTACACAGCAACTGGCCCTAAAACGAACTATTATAATTTATTCTGCGATTACCTCTGGCTGGATGTTCGTTATGCTGATTATTACACAGATACTGGCCCTAAAACTATTATTGTTTATTCTGCGATAACCACCAGCTATATGAACATTATTCTGATTATTACACAGATAATTACCTTAAAAAGAAATATTGTGGATTATTCTGCTATAAACAACGGCTTGATGTACGTTATGCTGATTATTACACAGCTACTTGGCCCTAAAACCAACAATTATGATTTATTCTGCGATAACCACTGGCTGGATGTTCGTTATACTGATTAGTACACAGCTACGAGCCCTAAAACTAACTATTATTGTTTATTCTGTGATAACCACCAGCTGGATGTACATTATGCTGATTATTACACAGATACTAGCTGTAAAATGAATTATTATGGTTTATCCTGCGATAACCACCGGCTGGATGTACATTATGCTGATTATTACACAGATACTAGCTGTAAAGTGAATTATTATGGTTTATCCTGCGATAACCACCGGCTGGATGTACATTATGCTGATTATTACACAGATACTAGCTGTAAAGTGAATTATTATGGTTTATCCTGCGATAACCACCGGCTGGATGTACATTATGCTGATTATTACACAGATACTAGCTGTAAAGTGAATTATTATTGTTTATTCTGCGATAACCACCGGCTGGATGTACATTATGCTGATTATTACACAGATACTAGCTGTAAAATGAATTATTATGGTTTATCCTGCGATAACCACCGGCTGGATGTACATTATGCTGATTATTACACAGATACTAGCTGTAAAGTGAATTATTATTGTTTATCCTGCGATAACCACCGGCTGGATGTACATTATGCTGATTATTACACAGATACTAGCTGTAAAATGAATTATTATGGTTTATCCTGCGATAACCACCGGCTGGATGTACATTATGCTGATTATTACACAGATACTAGCTGTAAAATGAATTATTATGGTTTATCCTGCGATAACCACCGGCTGGATGTACATTATGCTGATTATTACACAGATACTAGCTGTAAAGTGAATTATTATGGTTTATCCTGCGATAACCACCGGCTGGATGTACATTATGCTGATTATTACACAGATACTAGCTGTAAAGTGAATTATTATGGTTTATCCTGCGATAACCACCGGCTGGATGTACATTATGCTGATTATTACACAGATACTAGCTGTAAAGTGAATTATTATGGTTTATCCTGCGATAACCACCGGCTGGATGTACATTGTTTCTGACTGCCAGTGTTTCGTGTTTGTCCATGACCGTGTTTCACGCAGATATGGAGTTCCTGGAGGTGTTGACTGAAGGTCTGGAGCGAGTGCTGCTGGTCAGAGGAGGAGGAAGTGAGGTCATCACCATCTACTCGTGATGTCACCGAGTGTGGTCCGAGGAGGAGGAAGTGAGGTGTGAGGTCATCATGATGTCACAGGGTCTATAAGGGAATCGTGGCCAATTCAACATGTTCAGTTTATGATCATCGACTGCACTGCAATCCTTTAGTTTAGTTTACGCCGCACACACACACACACACACACACACACACACCAGATGCAGTGTTTCATTCAGAGCGTGTGTGTTTGTGTCATCATTGTAAATGTGCATGAGGAGAGACACACACACACACACACACACACACAGACACATGCATACGGGACACAGAATGACTCAGGGCTACAGAGACTTGATCAGCAGACACTTCAGATGTGTGTGTGTGTCTCAGTGAGTGTGCGAGTTTGTCTGTGTGTTTGTGTGTGTCTTATTGAGTGTGTGTTTCTGTGCTTCTTTCAGTGTGTGTGTATGTATGTGTGTGCATTTATCTGGATGTGTGTGTATGAGGATATGTGTGCGAGTTTGTTTTTTTGAGTGTGTGTTGCGTGTACAATTGTGTGAAAGACTTTGTGTGCGCGCATTTATCTGCATGTGTGTGTGTTGTGTTTGAGTGAGTGTGTGTGTATGTGTGCAATAGAGAAAGATTGTGTGTGAGAGTGTGTGTATGAGTGTGTGTGAAAGATTTGTCTGTTGTGCGTATGTGTATCTGACTGCGCGTGTGTGTGTGTGTGTGTGTGTGTCTTTCTCAATGTGTGTGTTTGTGAGTCTTTCTCAGTGAATGTGTGTTTTTCTGTGTTCCTCTCTCAGTGTGTGTGTGTGTGTGTGTGTGTGTGTGTGTGTGTGTGTGTGTGTATGCTTATGGGTGTGTGTGTGTTTTTCTGTGTTCCTCTCTCAGTGTGTATGTGAATGTGTGTGTGTGTGTGTGTGTTTTTCTGTGTTCCTCTCTCAGTGTGTGTGTGTGTGTGTGTGTGTGTTTTTCTGTGTTCCTCTCTCAGTGTGTGTGTGTGTGTGTGTGCAGCAAAACAGACAGACATCACTTCAGTTCATTCCACAGAACACAACCACAGCGAGACGTCAACACGTCTGACTTATTTAACACGTTTCCATCATCATATCTGACTGCTGCTGTCGTTTACATCTTGCAAATCGACAAGGAACAGTGCGAAAGTCCAGCAGAAACGAGAGAAAGCCTGAATTCTGAGAGTAAATATTAATAATTGTGATGCACTTCTGACGGTCTCCTCACACCTGCACGCTGAACACTGGTCATTGTGAGACATGTTTTTAAAAAGCGTTTTATTTTGCTAGATTCCCTGTACAATCGTCACTATAAATCAACGTTTTCATGCTGTGAAGGTGAAATCGCACACCAGAGTCATGACTGCGGTCTGATGTCAGCATCACACGCGCTGATGACCGTTTAATCCACGTCTGTGAAAGCCAAGCTTGTGTTTAATGCAGAACTGGAGATGACGATTGTGTTATGATGACTGCAGACGGACTGTAAACACTCATACGTTCAGCAATATATGGATCCGCTGCTCTGCACACACACACACACACACACGCGCTCCTGATCATCCCGTTGGCTTTGTCTTGAGTTTATTGACGCTCTAGCGGAGAGCTGAAGCCAGTTTTACCGATGTTTCTGTTGTCTTTTAATCGTCAGCTGCTTCTATCTTTGGTTTTTGTGCAGGGATTGTGAATTTTGTTGTCATTTTTGAAAATATCAAGTGTTATCTGCTATTTTTATCACGTTAAATAATAAAATGACAGTAATACATCTCTTTTACCATCGCACAGGCTGTGTTATTTTAATGTTTGGACTTAATTTCATTTTCATCTGCTTATCCGGGGCCGGGTTGTGGAGGCAGCAGTCTTACGCTTCCCATTCACTTTGAATGGGTGACGCCAGGCGTTGCCGAACTGCATTGTGGATCCGTTGGCGCCGCTTCAGAGGTGTTGCTCGCTGCAGAAGTTGGGACTAGCTCAACTTTTCAAGCGCTGACAGCCAATCAGATCACTGTATGCAAATACACCAGCTAGACAGAGGCCGATTGCTGACTGAATTTCATTGGCTGACGCTGCTATGACGATCGCTTCAGCCCCAACTTCAGACACGCCCTCTGTCAAGCGTTGATGCTGAAGCCCCGTGTGAATGGAGCATTAGGAGAGATGTCCCTCTCCCCAGACACTTCCTCCAGCTCCCTTGGGGGAATCCAGAGGTGTTCCCAGGCCAGCCGAGAAAGATAGTCCCTCCAGCGTGTCCTGGGTCTTCCCCGAGACCTCCTCCAGGTGGAACATGCCTGGAACACCTCCCTAGGTAGGCGTCCAGGAGGCATCCGAAACAGATGCTCGAGCCACCTCAGCTGACTTTTCTGGATGTGGGAGATCAGCGGCTTTACTCCGAGCTCCTCCCGTGTGACAGAGCTCCTCACCCTGTCTATAAGAGTGCGCCCTGCCACCCTACAGAGAAAACTCATTTCGGCCACTTGTGTCTGAGATCTTGTCCTTTCAGTCACGACCCAAATAATCATTCAGAAATTAATAAATTAGTACCATCACATACTTCTGATAGCTAAACACACTTTAGACGGAAATCTTTTATATATTATTTTTTTTACATGTTTGCCTTTCCAGCTGCAACCCTTTACTGGAAAACACCCACAGACACACTCATTCACACACATACTCTATGGACAATTTAGCCTACCCAATGTTCCTATATTGCATGTGTTTGGACAGTAGGGGAAACCAGAGCACCCGGAGGAAACCCACACAAAAATACCAACTGACTATGAGACAGTATCTCTACTTAAATGCATTTAATTTCCTGGTATTGATTGGTTAATTTGGCAGCACGGTGGCGCAGTGGGTAGCACAGTCACCTCACAGCAAGAAGATCGCAGGTTTGAGTCTCGGCTGGGTCAGTTGGTGTTTCTGTGTGGAGTTTGCATGCTCTCCCCG